CATAGGGGAGGGGATGTCTCCTGACCCCAGACGGAGGGGCCAGGGCTGCAGGCTGTGCTGGGGGAGGGCAGGGTGGAAACGCCACCTCCTCTCTGCATCAGAGACAGTGACTTTTCCAACCTGGTGAACACAGCAGAAGACTTCACAGTGAGCCCAACCAAAGCCTGCCCGGTGCTCAAAACGCCTCCCAAATAAATGCCATCTGCAGATACGCTTTCAGTGTTATTAGTTCTCTCTTCTAGACATGGACTGGCCAGGGAGGCTGAGTGCCCTCAGGAGCATTTGAAAAACACAGTGCTGAGGATCGCATTTGAAAACCGGTCCCACAGCCTGCTGGCAACACGACCTGGACTAAGTGCTTACATTGCTTACCTCTGAGGGTCCTGAGAACCACCACCAAGGGATCCGCATGGCTCTTGACATACAGGATCCTAAAAGTACTTTCATAGGATCCGTTTGCACACTGGCCCTTGTATACTACAGGCCAGGAGACACCGAAGAAAGAGGCAGAGCACTCCAGATTGGTAGGTGGCCGCCTTCAACAAGCAAGGGAACTTAGGAGGCTTGTCCTGGGCAATGGCAAGAATGGGAGATCTCTACACTCACCTGTGGGAATCTTAAAAGCTCACATAGAGACCTTCACTGGGTTCACAGAAGCCCTCCAGACAATCTGAACAACACCTTTTCCTCTCAATGCTACATCCTTGAGATGGCTGCTCGGGTGGCAATAGTAGGGGAAATGTACTTTCCAGAGACAAAGGAGGGGACAGCAAGAGGGGAAGGAGCCTCCCATTGCCCCAGTTCAGCCTGCAGGTCAACTGGAGATCATGTTCTTTCAATAACCTCCGACATGTATGGCAATCACTGCTGAGTTTTGGCTCTGCACCATAACAAATACACAATACGTGTAGCCAACTCGAGCCATCTTCATTCTCAGAGGCTCTCCTCCTGCCTCACTGTGTGCAAGAAGCATGGTGGGAGAGGGCTTGTGCAAAATCCTCTGAGTGAGTCACATCTCCTCAGTGCACAGGGACACCCTCACAATGCATTCTCGAAGAAGACCTTAGGTGGAATGAATGTGGAAGTGTTTTGTGAATTGGAAATGTTGCACTTGGGTGGGATTTGCTCTTCTCTGCTTCCGATTGAGGACAGAAAAGTTTAGTTCTGAAAGGGAAATGAGGAGTCACCCAGCATTCAGCCCCATTTTCCAGAGGAGGAAGTTGCCCTCCTCTGGAGTGCTCACACAGGAAGGTGATGGAAGAATCTGGAACAGAAATGACATCATCTGACCACCAGCCACATGGAATGCAAACCAGTAAGTGAAATGACCCAAAGGCCCTGCAGTAATGTCAAGGTGATTCCTGCACTTAGTGTGAAACTTGGAAAACGACATGACAAAGTGAAACGAGAAGAAAGTTTATTGGCTCCAGCAAAACAATGGAGAACACTTATTATGAAAAACAATAAATACTGATTTGAAGGGCTGTATAAAATTTGCACACAGAACAAAACTTGGACAAGCCTTCCTTTGGATAAATTGAGTGCTGAGAATCCCCCAGATGACAAGTCACACAAGGCAGAAGGTATGCCTGCCCTCACCTGCAGAGATGGCTGAGCAATGACAAGGCTCAGTATCACCATTGCCCAAGGTAGATACACCCCAACATGCATAGAGGGGCCAAGGCCCATTATCCCATAGCCCAGTTTGGACAAGCTGACTTGATGGCTTTCATGCTTCCCTGAGAACCCATTTTGGAAAGGGTATTTATTACCCATCTCTGTCCCTTGTTTCCATTTCCTGAGTACAAAGTGAAACTCCCAATTTTTGCCAAGGCTGTGTATCTAAAGCAGGGGTTCTCAAACCCTATGAATCAATGAGAGTTTGTCAAAACAGATTGCTGGGCACTGGGGTGGAGCCAAAAGTATTTGTTTTTCCAACAAGTTCCCAAGTGGTGCTGATGCTACTTGTCTGGTGATCTTCTTGAAAACCACTGATCAACAGAGAACAGCCATATTCAGTCCCTCCTTGAAATCCTCATCACAGGCCCCATGTTGTTCTGGTTTTTCCTTATTAGGTAAAAAGAGACTGGTAGCTCTCTTCTCCACCCACCATGCATGCCTAGGATCATACAAATAGAAACAGGGATATTTTGCTCACCCTTTGAACCATAGAGAAATAATGAAGCATATTCATTTGGCCTCAAACCCTCCAAAAGTACTAGAAGAGATGGACTTAATGGAGCTCTGAAAAATTGAGAGATTCCTTGGAGAACTCCCGGGCTGTTTCTCCACAGTCTCTCCATAAGTGCTCAGATCAGTTCAATTATAAACATTTCCTTACAAGTAAATTTGAAGATGGTTAAAGTTCTCAGGTGGTAAACCCCCGAGTGTATTTGAGAAAAAAAAAAAAGAAGAAAGTAGTAGAGTACTAACAACAGTGGCCAGTCTTGGTGGGACAGTGTTTAGAAAGTTTCTTCCCCTCTTTGACCAAGTTTTAGTTGAAAGAGTGTAGCCAAAACTGTAACCAAAGGAGGCATTACGCTTCCAGAAAAATCTCAAGGAAAAATACTGCAAGCAACAGTAGTAGCAGATGGATCAGATTCTAAAGGAAAAAGTGGGAGAGATTCAACCAGTGAGTGTGAAAGTTGTAGGTATAGTTCTTTGCCCAGAATATGGAGACACCAAAGTAGTTCTACGTGACACTGAATAGAGATGGTGACGTTCTCAGAGACCATGTAGACTAAAGTAAACCATTATTGAAATGGCATCCAGTGAAGCTGCCCATTCCAGGGAAGTTGTGAAATCTTTTATCATGTAAATAATTTGTGTCTCTTTTATAATAAACTAATGGTACGCCCAAAAAGAAGCGCCTTTCTCAACTCTAGTGGGATCCTGTCACTGACTGGCAGATGGATGTCCCATGGATACAGTGACCATATAATCTATTACTCACCTAGACTCTTCTGAGAGCCAAAAAGGGCATTATTAATAATCACAAAGGGACTATGGCAGGCAAATGGGAATCTAGGTATCAGATGGGCCCACCAATAAAGAACCCAAAAGGAAGCAGGTGGAAGCAAGTTATTTTTAAGATTTTTTTAAAATTTATTTATTCGTGAGAGACACAGAGAGAGAGAGGGGCAGAGACACAGGCAGAGGGAGAAGCAGGCTCCATGCAGGGAGCCCGACGCGGGACTCGACCCCGGGGCTCCAGGATCACACCCCAGGCCGAAGGCAGGCCCTAAACCGCTGAGCCACCTGGGCGTCCCGAGGAAAGGTTATCTATATCTGCTATTGTCTTATGTAGACCCCTCACTTCTTCTACATTCTGTATCTTGGCTATGTAAATTAAGGACTTCCAACAGGTGTCTGCAGGAGTCTGTATGGGCTCTTTTCCTTCTAATTTTCAACTGACCTGCAATGTGAAGGTGGCAAGATGTTTTCCCAGAAGTTTGGAAATTGAGCTTGTGCACCTATTCTAACCATTTCCTGTCAGAAGTAGCTTTGGCAGGAACACCAGAGCCACTGGCAGTGGCAACACTGGCTTGTTTTGATGTACACTTTCCTTGATGTGGGCACAGCAGTGAGCCCAACATCAAAGGCTGACTCAATTGCCCATTGCCTGCCTGGTTAAACATTACCCAGTGGTCCTCATCAAAGCCTTGCTTTGACACTTCATCCCTGCCTAACTCAGATGAGCAAGATCAACCTTTCCCCAACAACAGAACCTTTTCTGGCTCCTGGAAGGGGCATCTAGAACTGGTGTTTTCATAGCTGCTTTCTCCAAAATCAGAAGGCATGAACTGGCAGCTGACAAGACAGAAATGGCCAGCAAGGCAGTACACACGATCCACATACTTTGTTGTACCAACATATAAAAATTGGGTACTTTCATATTGAAAAAATACAAATTTCAGACAAAATTGGCTTCTTAATACTCAGAGGCTCCAGCAACAATGCCTGGACCATCTGATAAAGGGTGGGAGGCAAGGAAGAGTTGGAGAGGGTGGAGTTCTGAAGGAGAGAGAAGACCAGAGGGCCAAGGACACTTGAAGAGCAAAAGTAGCATCTCAATGAGGGGTCAGGCTGCGGTATGGACAGTGCGGATGCTGTGGTGGACAACATTACAAAAACATCTATTTGCCAAGGAGGGACATTAGAATTTTACTAGATATGTGTGTAGGAGACAGACTAGGTGGTACAAAAGGGAATAAACAGACTAAAATGAGTGGGTGCAGAACTGAAGATCTAGAGATTAGCCTTCAAAACTAACATCCACTTAGAGTGAGTGGTTGTAAAAAATGGAATTTTGTATGATAGAGGGAAGGTCACACTTGGCTGCAGCGAGAGAGCTGCTAATGCAGAGAAAGAATGAATGCATCAAAGGGCAAGGGCACAGTCCTGGCAACAACCCGACCAAATCACAGAGGGCAGAGTACAACATTCGGATAGAGGGTCTGGTGGAGAACAGAGGAGACGGCCTTGAATGTCAGGTTCACAGCCATGTCGTGTGCCCAAAGGACAGGGACAGCATGGCCAGGCACGTGTTTGCTCCCTTTCCAAAGGGCATGCTCCTGGAAAGGCTGCAATGGAGTGATTGTGAAGGATCCACAGAAAAATGTGCTATAAGAAAATACTTGCCTTGTCAAAAAAGTCAACTAATATTCTTTGAGCAAATATTATGAACTACTGGGAAAAAAAACCAAACACTTCAGTACATAAAAATATGACAGAAGCACCCAGTTTAAAGGGATCTTTACAGAAACTCAAAGTCTATCTCTGTGATGTGAATATTTACTAAGGAGAGCAAATGCTTGATCGCAGTTGGGAGAGTTCTGGGTCCGTAATAAAACCATGCACTGCATGCAGGCTCATAAATTTATGTAAGATCATTTCCTATAAGCATTTTAATAAAGTGCTATATAAAATCAAACAAGAACAACTGTATAATGAATTATGTCAGGAACTTTTAACTACAAATGCAAGACATCAAGAATGTATTCATTTTTTTGGTTTATTAAAAGAAAACTACACTTCTGTGCTTCTTACAATACATTAACAGGCATAAAAATCAATCAACGTTTCCAAATAAGTTTCGCTCACAAAATCACATAGTATTATTTCACAGTACTTTATAGTAATTCTTTTTACAACAATTTAACATTTCTTTGTACAACAGGAAAATAACACCTTCCATCAAGGCATTTCAGAGCTTTAGATGTTTAGAAATAAAGTCAAAATTCTTTCAAATGCAATCATTAGTTTGTATTAAACTAGAACACCAGATGCCAAGTCTCAAGTTCCTAAAAAGAGTGTTTTAAAAAACAGATTTACATCCAAATTAAGTCTTAGAAACTTCAATGATAGATCTTATCATTTCTAAACACTAGAACTACCTGTGGATAAAAATCTGCATTCAGTTGTGCATTATTTTCTTCTAGATCTGAATTAAAATCTTAATTATTTACCCCAGTTAATCCTTGTGTTAGTTTTGCTACTTTCGGGGGGAAAACCCAGGATCATTGACGGCCAATCTCTCCATCAAAGGAAAGAGCTCTGACCGCCTATATTAGTTTTCTGTGCTTATTGTCTCCAGGGGAGAAAACATACACCCACTAACTAGAACGTGACTATACACAATGCATGCAAACTCTGCCTCCCTGCCTTCTCATTCTGTTTTGTCCCCTTAAAGAACTACCTAATGTAGTGGTTCCCAAAATGTTTTCCATGGCATATTAGTGAGAGGTTCATAGGGGTGCCTAGGGGAAAAGAGGGTCACAACGGTTTGGAAATGCTGGGTTAAACAGGCTTGGGACTCGCATATCCTGAGCCCTCACCACGCTAGTGCACAATGGGAGTTTCTTTAAAAAAAAAAAAAGAGGATCCACATTTATTTTATCACCAACACTTCTTCTACAAAACGCCTATGAACATCTCACAGAGCACTGAGATCACATGGAGAACCATAGGAAATGCTTTGCCCCTTCAGGTGCCTGGAAGCTTCACAATCTGAGTTTACATTCATGGCAATCCCTGATGTATTTTCTCCACTCGTCCTCGTGACTTTGAGAGACTGAACAGGTCTGAGAAGAAAGACTCGGGAGTACTTTCTCTGTTACTAGTTCTCCATGTTGCACACAAATTCCTTCCCTTTGTTTTTTCTTGAAATTTAAGGGAGAAAAAAATTCCTTCCTCTTTCTGAAATCACTTAGGACATTCTCAGTTGGAAAGCGTGCAGATTCATATTGCTTATTATTGGACTTTGTTTGTTTTTTAATTTGACTCACAGTCTTCCCCTGGAGGGCATGCATTTCAGTGTTAGAGAAATGCAGGAGAGTAAACTGTAATAAATTATTTACAAGCACCTAGTTTGTTTAATCTTACATGGAAGCCATTTGCTTTTGGAAAACAGTGAAAATAAATCTTTAAGCAAAAACAGTGCTACCTGGAAGCCTTACTGTGATGATGTATGTTTTTTTCAGTAATGAGGCACTGAAGAATGAGTTGTGCTAAAATTAACTCAGGGTCAGCTTGTCTGGATGAGCATAACTTTGGTTGAGATTATTCTTCCTTAAAAAAGGTTTTCAAAGCACCAGTTAATTACAAAAAGCATGCATATTTATTCTCACAGTGAGTTAAGTTGCGAGAGAGCTAGCAAATCATACATCGCATTCCTCAAAGCATCTGATTATATTTCCAGAAAACAAACCAACTGAAAAGGAAAATAAAGCCAGAGGAGCCACTGTTCCCTGCTCAGGCAGCACAGCAGTGGCTCTTAGCAGAAGTCTCAGGTAGGGCAGCAGACTCCACTCAAAGTCACTCCCAACCTTGACTTCCCAGGTAACTGAGAGAATCTGAGCGATCCTTGATCTATGATTTAGAGGGAGAATGAGCGAGACTAGTGCGATGACGGCCAGTCGAGAAAAGGAACGCCCGTGGGGATTAGTAAGTCTCCCTGGGTGTTCCTCCACAGGCACAGCTCCAGTCCACAGAAGTGCTCCTCTGTCCCCGTTAGTCAAACGGAGTGCTACAAGGTGGAGACCCCGCTCCACACCAGAGCCGCTACAACACTGACAATGGCTTAAGGGTACATGAGTTCCTATCAAGAACAAATATAACCTACACACGGAATTTGAGAAGACTGGAAAAAGATCACCACAGCACAGCATTATTGCTATGAGTTTCAAAGGAGATATTTCATACAACATGAAGTACCGATCGGTACCCTTCCCTCTCCTGACACACACAGAGGACGATACAATTAGTGTTTAAAGTCCAAGCTTATAAAAGTACAAACTAAATTCTCAGTACTTTCTAATTCAAAGACTATATGCAATATTCTTCAAGAAAAATTCCTAATTCCATAATACCGTGGAGAGAAAGAACAGTAAGATGCTAGAAAATATTTTCATATCACATGATCTTTATGAAATCACCATAATTACAATGCACAGTTATGCTCCCTGCTCATAAAAAGGCACCTACCCATTATGAACAGACAATTTTTCATGACAATTTGCCACTATGTGGCATCAGGGTGTAGGCATGTAACCCACATACATTTTTTAAAAACCATGGTTTTTCCTCATAGCTAAAAATCCATACATGCCTCGAACCGCTGACTAGTCAATAGGGCTACGACATATATGGCACAGGTTGTACACCACACGACTTGAGTGGGCACCAGTCACCTGGACTGGATGCAGTGCACAATCTGTACAAGGTACATGAGCCCCGGGGCAGCAGCCTATCACCACAGCACTTTACCCTAAAACAGTCTCTCAGGCCAAGCTAATCAGGTTAGGACAACTGCTATTTGGTTGGAGAATCTCCAAGAAAGAGCTGCACCTGTGACAGGCGGGTGCCACCCGAGGGTGGGAAGGGGTACAGACATAAAACAGGACTCGTTCCTAAATCCTTGCTGGTCATTTAAAACTCAATGGCACTTTTTTTACATGAGCAAAAGTTCAAAGTCAGTGTTCTGGCCAAGTTCACCTTGAATTTTGCCAGCCAAATTTACCTCCTGATGGTAACAGTTTGATCACATTAGCTCTATTTCTGACATAAACTAATATTGTGTTTTCAGGTAGCTTTTAAAAAACTTTCTAAATCTGACTGCGAAGGACAGCACAGTGATACCTGGGTGTGATAAAGATCAGCCCATTATTTGTAAAGCACTTTGGGATGAAAGGTGTCCCCTTTAAGACTTAGCTACTATTGACAAAAACTGAAAAAAAAAAAAATCAACAGTGAATGAATGACTCAATTATGTTTAAAGGAAGTATTAACCATTAATCAGAAAGTATACCGACAAATTATCCGACAGTATTAAGTATACAAGATTCAGTTCTAGAACGAATCTACATTTTTGTGCCCATCACAGTAGTTTAGTCCTATACTTAAAAGGTAAATCTTTTAATATAAACTCCAAAATAATTTTTTGAGATTTAATTTTGTCATCTATTGATGATGAGTTGCAAGCGGAGGCTGCTGTGTCATCTCGGAGTAGGGATAAGCACAGACCCACGGAGGGGAAGGCACTTGTCTTCCAGCACGTCAGATTAGGACAGGTCAGGCCTGACCACACGCTGGCACCTTCAACTCTCAAGCCAGAAGCTGGAGCCTACCAGGGACTCGTCCCATGCCCTTAACTTGCCAGAGGTGCCAGGAGTTACCTACAGCACCACAAAACTCAGAATGTATTCTAGGAGTTTTTGCCGGTTGCGTTGAGGTAGAAACGTGCTGCTGAGTTCTAAAACAGACACTCTCTTTTGTTTGGTCTCTTTGAAAACCTAGAGAGAAAGTTTAAATTAAAGACAAACCTAAAAAAAAAGAGACATTCCTATTACCAACCCTGACCTCTGTTCTAGACCCCAAAAGGCACAAAGGCATATAAAACTGTATCTTGCCTTTAAGTAAATGTACTACGGGTTTTCACAAGTATGGGGTGGAGAGGTTATGGATGTAGGTGTCGTGTTCTTTGGGGTAGAGTCCAATCAGTACACTGTACTTTAAAATCTATGTTAGGATAGTCACAAATAGTTCCTTACAAATGCCATTAGTACCTCCATGGAACTCATGTCCCATATGACACATGAAGGAAGGTAAGTACGCTGGAGGGTATGTCTGGCAATACTGGTAAAAACCCAGTAACTGAAAATCATATGGCATAACTAACATCCCTGTCAAAACTTGTAGTAGCATCTTGAAACACACTGCCACCAGTTATATATAAATGGTCTTGGGATAAAAATGAAAGCCAGGGCAATTCTAGAACATTAGAATAAATCTGTACTGATGGGCACTTTTAACATACCTGTCCCCCTCCCAATCCCCAGAAATGTGGTCATGACTAGTCCAGCACAACCTGCTTTTCTCAGGGCCCACCCCAGATGCAGGTGGCTCAAACAGACCAGAGCTGAGCAGAAAGAGAAGTTAACACATGCCTTCATACCATAAGCGGTGGGTACTCACCCCAATATCCTTAAACATTTTCACAGCATTCTTCACAAGGCAGTAAGTGGCACTCTCCGCTGTAGAGAAAGGATAAGACCTTGTCAAAAGTTCAATCCTAACAAACTCAAAAACCCCAACATCCACAGTATGAAAGTGTGGGAGGCCCTGGAGAGGGTGTGAGCAAGTCAGCAGACCGGGCTCGAGCTCCATTTCTGCTACTGGCAACCTGTGAGGTCTCAAAGGATTTGCCGTTTCTTTAAACCCATTCTGTCATCTTTTAAGGCAAAAAGAGCAAGAAAGAGGGAGGAAAGGAAACGAGAAAGAAAGGAAAAGAAGGAGAAATACCTATAACATCCATCTTGAAGGGTTTTTTGAGAGAAGTAAACAAGACAGTGGGGAGAAATTCTGTTAATCTGCACAGTGATGCACAGATGTTCCCATACCAGTGGAGTGAGAAAGAGCACAAATCTAGAGGTCAGAAAAAGAGTTCTGAATCCAGGTGTGCCCATGAACTAGCTGTGTGACCTACGATAGTTTCCTCATCTATAAAGTGAGTACTCGATCTCTAGATATCTATCTAGATAGAGATAAATCTATAACTATATAGGTCTATAAGACTATGGGGAGAGGGAGGGAGAGAGAGATATAAGTCTAGAGAGAAATTACCTCTAGGTCCCTTCTGCCTCTAAAAAGTATTGATTCCAAGCAGTTTCAGTCCTAAGCCATCACTGTATAAAACACTACTCCCACCCTAGTCACACTCCCATAAACATGGACTCTACTAAGCAGTGGCTGGATGGGGAGCACCGGAAACACATCACTGCAGGCGTGCAAACTGGCACATCACCCCAGGACCAGCCACAGTACCCTCAGAAGCTGTGACAGGCAACTCTATTCCTAGATGCAGCCTGGTGTAAATGAGGGCATATGTTTGCCCAGTGTTCAAACATGTTCCCAGTAGTACTAGTCACCGTATCTCCAAGGTGCAGACAACCCAACTCTCCGTCAATGATGGAAATAAATGAAACATAGTAAATGTTTCTGCCGGGGAGGACTATACAGCAACAACAATAATAACCAAACAACCACCTGTGCTATCATGTATGCTCTCACTTACAATGTTAAGTGAAGGAAGCCACACAGGACAGTACCTGTATCATTCCATTTATGTAACATCCCCACACAGATAATAATAGCAATCTAGGAAGTTAGAGGTCAGGATAAGTTTGCATTTTTTCCCTTTTGTCTACCATTAGCAGATTCCTGTGATCAAAAAAGGCCTAACTTTTGGGGATCCCTGGGTGGCTCAGCGGTTTAGCACCTGCCTTCAGCCCAGGGCCTGATCCTGGACACCCGGGACTGAGTCCCATGTCGGGCTCCCTGCATGGAGCCTGCTTCTCCCTCTGCCTGTGTCTCTGCTTCTCTCTCTCTGTCTCTCATGAATGAATGAATGAATGAATGAATAAATAAATAAATAAATAAATAAATAAATAAATAAATAAATAAATAGATAAATAAATAAATAGAAATAAAAAGGCCTAACTTTTAAAAGACACCAAAGTAGAGCCCTACATACCATAGACAGCAACACTTCTCTCCGTCCTGGTGATCAAGTACTTGTGCAACTTCTGCAGATACTCAGGCTCCGGGACAGGCCCGCTGAAGTTGTGGATGAAGATGGCAGCCGAGCTGTAGGCCTCGAGCAAAGGCCCGAGCAGCCGCTGGAGGAAGGTGATGAACTGCTGGTGCTCCTTGGACTGGCTCACCTGGGAGTGCGAGGGTGGGAGATGAAGTCATGGAGCAGGGACAGAAGAAACGAGCCTGTGACACAGCAACCTCCTCAGAGGCAGAAGTGGAGCGGGCAGCCTCTTCTGGCCCCTTCACAGAAACAGCTGGCCGCTCCAGGGGCACAGACCCTCTGCTCAAAAGGGACTGTGGCTTTGAAATGGGCTCTTTTATTGGGAGTCACTGCTTTCTATAGTATTTGAGGTTTGCACTCCCTACACAGCTCCCTAGAAGAAACTGGGATACCTGAATGACAGAGTTACAACATATCGTCATCACTGAACATAGCTGGTCCTGAGGCCAGACCCTGCAGGGTTTCACTCCAGTGTGAAAGAGGGCACATGGCAAGACCACCAAGGTCACCTCAATCCTCCCCAGCCCTCACTTCCTGCTACCCCACATGGCCTTTGGCCCATATCCCGGGACAGTGGGGAGTGACAGTAGTGCTGATGGGGTGCTGGGTGGCAGAGGGGGCTCTCACTGTACCCCCCAAAACAGGTACATTCAGCTAAGCCCCTCTGCAGTGTGGCAGCAAGATCACTGCCCCATCTTAATGATGATAATACCCAAAATGCAGAAACTTCTAAAGCTCAGGTGGACTTTCCAGAAGTGACACCTCCTGAATCTCTGTGTGTTTGTGTAAATTAGGGGTGTTACTGAGTAATCCATTTAAGATATTCAGAAAAAATGGGTCATTAACATAATATTACAAATCAGGGACAATCAATCTTTCATAAATCTGAAGTTTCCCGTGATGGGATTTGTTTTGATTGAAGGCAAAGAGCTCAACATATGAAATTTGGGGAGGCTTGACAAGACTGAGCATGACTCAGAGCCACGGGCTGTGTGGCAGCTGAGACCTACTCCCTCTACCACCTGGTCCAGCGCTGCTGGCTTTGCGGAAGACCGAACACTGTCCCCCTCTACGGGAGGAAGTGAAGGTGTTGGAAAAAAAGCTTTGCTCCCTGTGCATTTTGATGAGAGGGTCGGGAAGGGTCTCACTCGTGCTCATCTTCCCAAATTTTGTTTCCTTTTCCATTATCTGCACCCAAACTGAGCAACTGGGGGGTATTTGCTCACCGCGAACATTTGAGTGTCTTTACTAGGCAGCAAGGACCACAGCTGGTTTGTGGGTACCAGAAATGTGGGTAAGTCAGCAGAGTCCCAGTTGCTAAGAACCTCATTGACTAGGGGCAACATAAACCTCAGCTCCTCACTATAACGTCCACCAGAATTCTTCACCGAAGTACCTTCAGGTAGCAATCTCGCTGCTCCTCACCAAAATCACTGTCTTCATCTTCTTCATCACTTCTCCAAGACAAAGGCTCAGGAAGCTTCTTGTCCCACTGCTGCTCAGCAAGACTGGGACTGATATCTTCCTGGTCATCTTGCTATGCCAAAAGATAGCAAACAGCAAACAAACATGCGTGGGCACACAGACATCTGCGTGGCTGGATGTCAGACCAGCATCCTCTCGCCCGGGCCTCCCAACTCCCCTCTGTTAGCCCCTACAGCATCAGCCCACCTCCCGCTCCAAACAGTCACTCGGGAGACAGTGGGGAGGGAAAGAAGGAAAGAAAGAGGTAGCAGGGGAAGCTACCAGGTAGAGCAAATAAAAATACCCTGACCTCCCCTAAACTGATATCTACTTTCCCAGGCCATACCTGCTATACCCAGTACAAAAATTAAAATCTCAAAAGAGAAAAATGCGTGTGTGCAAGCTACAAGCACATGGATATGAGACACATCTCATCTTGGAATGAACACTTTCGGGTGTCACTGAGTCAAGTCAAGGTATGTTCTAGACACCAGTTACACAAAAGAAACCAAAATATTAAAAACAATCCCAAAAGATGTTCGCTCTCCCTATTCTTTCCTGTTCATGTGGACTTGACTATATATATATCAAGATGTAATTATTGGCTAAAATCATTGGTTGTAACACTGGTTAAAATAACTGGTAGAAAAGATAAGGAAGAGCCAGAAATTAAATAAAGGCAAATAAAGGAAAGCCATTCTTCTTACCTCTGCCACAACGAGAATGCCATACTGGATAAACCTTCCTACTGTTTCATGGCAAATTTGGTAAAATGTCTGGCAAGGCTGAAAAGAAAAGGCATTTAAATAATGTCACTGACCTTCTTAAAATTTTTTTTTTAAGATTTTATTTATTTGAGAGACACAGAGAACACCAGTGCAGGGGGGAGGACAGCGAGAGAGAGAGAGAGAGGGAGAAGCAGATTTCCCACTGAGCGGGAGCCTGACACCAGGGCTCAATCCCAGGACCCCGGGATCATGACCTGAGCTGAAGGCAGATGCTTAACCCAACTGAGCCAACCAGGTACCCCATCACTGACCTTTTTTAAAGACAGAAAACACTGCACAAAGTAACTGCTAAATGCTTCCATATCAACCAACTTACTCCATTGGGCAAGTCCTAAGATTCCTGAGGCCCACCCTCCATGGTCAAGGGCAATGTTCAAGAAGAGCCCTTGTTCTGTATCTGGTAGAGCACCCAGTGTGGCACCGGCACCACCTGCACAGATGCCCTGAAACTGTCTCCTCCCACAGTGGGGCAACTCTCAGAAGGGTTGCTCATCAGGCCCCTAAAGTCTTTCTTTTCCTTCATAAGACAACTTCTCTGCAAATGCTACCTTACAGTAAACACACGTACGTAAAGGTGGTGGAAGAGGAAACATGCTATTCAAGTCATTCAAAAATGACCCAGGAAAAGGACAAAGTCAATCTTGGGAGCTTTATCCACCCCATCCCATCCCACCCTGTCCCTCAAAGTTCATGCAAAACAGATTCCACAACAGGATGACAATATACCATATGCAAAGATCACTGTACTCACAATACACATACTCATAAATGTCCCAGGACACATTCAAATAAGTGAGAGAGAGTGCAAGACTTCAAATAGAATATGAATTGTTGATGATTCTGAGAAACAAGATTCTATTGCTTAATATGTATGCCTCATTATGGATGTTTAATGGTAACTGAATGTAACAAATGCTCAGCAGCCCTGCAGAGACTTAGGTTTCCCATTTGTAAAATGACAAGGGGTTGAACAGATGATTTTTAAGACTTTCTGGCTCTTATCTTCTGGGCGTGTTAATTATTTACAAGCCTCTAACCCAGTGCCTTATGTACAATAAGAGCTCAGTCACTTGGGATCCATCTGATGGAGAATGTTGAGTAATCTGTCCTATCATGCCTTATAACTACATGAAGGGTTCACTGGAGCAGTGACCCCAATGGCAAACAAAGATAGTAAACAACATACTGGCCCGAGGGTCACTGACACCCAGGAGTAGAATGTAAAGCTTCAATAACAGACCAAACATTCTCTGCGAGAACAAAGGTGGCTTATGTTTGCATTAAAGTTCTCAAGGAAAAGAGAAGAGGCAACACTAAAAAGTCTTCACTTACGAGGGATATGGTGCCTTCGTTAGAGAGAAGACAGCAGAGGCTGGCAGCCTTCCGCACCAGCTGTTCCTGGCTGACCAGGCTGGGGGATGTACCTGAAGGCCCTCCTGTGCCTCTCTTGTTCAGAACTGCGTAAAGGCTGCAGGCTAAGGAAAGGAAAACATCAATGAAGCCGGCAGCCTTACAGTTCCAAGGAAAACTTCAACCGGCTCAGAAAACTTGAATTACCTTAATAGATCATGAACAAATCAGAAATAACAGTTTGCATTCACTGGGGAAAAATGTAAGTAAATCCCTGCAGGATTCACTCCTCACAATTCCATGTGATTCCAATGCCATCCAACATCTTTCTCAGGGGCTTCAATCCCTCCTGCTCTCCTTCTCTGTTCCCTCTGGATCCCCTACACTCACTTCACTGCCATGTGGACTTCTCACTCAGATTTTCAGCTTCTGATAGCAAAATACCTTCCCTCTCCTCCTTAGTAATAAGTGTAACACTATGCAAACAGTGATTCAGTAACAACTCATCCATAAATAAATGTAAAAATAAGTTACAGTGATTTAGCAGATTACATAATTTGAAAACTAAAAGTACAGCAACACATCCCTTCCAGCAAGGGGCTACCATCCAAATCAACAGACACCACCATGTGCTTTAGGCCCTTTCAGCTTCCACGAAGCCATTTCAGGGCAAGCCGTACCTATGATGGCCTCCATGATGAAGACATGGAGCACTCCGTTGCTGTAGAAGTTGAGTTCAAAGACTGATGGGACAGTTGTGCTGGGAGTAATAAAAAACTCATCATTCCTACTAGTGTGGGTGATCGTGACGCAATTTCCAAGCAGCTGTATGGCGTGCATGACTACATCTTCTGAGTTTCCTGAGAAGCCCAGGTCAAAATCACGAGCCAGGACTTCCTCCTTCATCACAAAGAAGTCCTCCACCAATGTGGAGAGATCAATTCCCTAAAGAAAAAGACAGAAATGGTCTCACAACAGTGGAAAACTGCTTCCCAAAAGGCCAAGAGGCCAGTCCAAGGATTTTATTTCTTGCCTTGGCTTTCCTGTAGCCCACTGTTGGTCATATAGTGGCCAGAATATCAGGGCACAGGATATCAAAATACTGGTGAAAAAGCTGGTCCTCCAGAAAGTCAAGATACATCCAGAAAATGCTCTGGTCACAACACATGATATGATCACAAAGGGGAGAAGCAGCCATCTAAAAGTAAGAAGTGCTTATGTTTTAGCAATTATTCCCCTCATTTTATTTAACAATTTTATTATTTGAGAGCACGAGAGAACACAAGCAGGGAGAGCAGGAGTGGAAGAGGGACAAACAGATTTCCCACTGAGCAGGAAGCCCAATGCAGGGCTTGATCCCCAGACCCCGGGATCATGACCTGAGCCAAAGGCTGACACGTAACTGACTGAGCCACCTAGGTGCCCCACTTTCCCTCATTTTATTGTATTTTTTTAATTAAAGATTTTATTTATTTATTCATGAGAGACACAGAGAGAGAGAGGCAGAGACACAGGCAGAGGGAGAAGCAGGCTTCATGCTGGAAGCCTGACATGGGACTTGATCCCGGGTCTCCAAGATCACAACCTGGACTGAAGGCAGCGCTAAACCACTGAGCCACCCGGGCTGCCCTTATTGTATTTTTTTTTTTTTAACATTTTGTTTATTTAAGAGAGAGGGAGTGAGAGACAGCACGAGCAGGGGGGAGTAGAGGGAGATGGAGAAGACTCCTTGCTATGCAGGTAGCCCATCATGGGGCTCAATCCTAGGACTCTGGAATCATGACCTGAGGCAAAAGCAGACGCTTAACAACTAAGCTACTAAGGCGCCCTCATTTTAAATATTTATCTGGGGCAGTCCGGGTGGCTTAGCGGTTTAGCACTGCCTTTGGCCCAGAGCATTATCCTGGAGACCCGGGATCGAGTCCCACATCAGGCTCCCTACATGAAGCCTGCTTCTCCCTCTGCCTGTGTCTCTGCCTCTCTCTCTCTGTTTCTCATGAATAAATAAATTCTTTAAAAATAATAAATAAATATTTATTTATCTATCTATCTGACAACTACTTATTTGGTGCTTACAATATATATACACATACACACACGTAGGCACTATGTTTGGTGTTAAGTGGAACAGATGTGGTCTTTTCCATCACAGTACTTAGACAAGTGCATGAAGGGAATGTGACCCTAATTTAAGTCAAATAGTTGTCAGAACACTTACTGCATGTCCATGCAATATGCCTTATTTACGTGAACTATATTACTCAAAGAGTGTCCTACTGTCATCTGTATTACGCAGTCTCTGAGATTTTTTTTTTTTTTAACATAGACTTCTTCCTCCATCAGATCTATAAGCTCCTGTGGGCAGAGTGCTTAGCTTATTTTACTGGTTATCTCAGAAGCACAAGCCAGGATCAGGCCACACTTATTAGCAAACAAGTATTTAAACAGCAGACACGGCATCCTCTGCTTCCCCTTAACTGCAGGTGACACTGCAGACATACCTGCCTGTGTCTGTAGAGGAGCAGGCAGGCCACGATGTGTGTTGACATAATGGCACAGGACTTGCTAGCAGCTGGAAGGCAAACACAAAGCTTTAGGGTCCCTTTTTTTTAATACCACTGAAAGTCTCTAAAAAGTACCTAAACCTTAAATAGGAGGATTTAAAACTATAAATACCTCTATGTTTCCTGTCACTATAATTTACCAAAGGGAAATTACAGCATTACACCATGCTCTGGCCAACAGATCCTCAGTAGAGATCACTATGATGATGTAACAGAATCCGGCCTAAGACAGCTCCACTTTCCAAACAGGCCAGTGGAATTTAGTTACTGAATGACCGAGAGACACCTTTATGGAAATACCAAGACCCAAAGCAGAAGCCGTTTTGGCAGTTCTACAGGGTCTCCCACTTTTGAGTTTGACTTAGTACTCTAGTAGCTGCATCTCTACTGTTCTAGTAGCTGCACCACTACAGCCTTCCTCTTGCAGGCAGATTCACCATCACAGTAAAACAGATGTGCAGTGGGAGAAGGGGTAGTAGATTTGAAGTCAGATAATCTGGACTAAAATCTAATTTCTAAAACTAATTTCATAACTTGGGGGGAAATTACTTCAACCCCCGTGCCGTAGCTTCCTCATTGGTAAGATGAAAATGCTGCCTCGCTCATTGGGCTGAGGAGGAAATGACCCACCTGCCAGGTAGAGATATGGAGGGAGAGGGCAAAAATATATTTGAGAATGACCATAGTCCATAACCCAATACTCAGAATTTGTAGGAAATAATTACATAAATCAAATATGAGAACATCTATGGAATAATCCGAAACAAACACACTGTGAGTTTTCTGAGATGATAAGGAATTCACGAATACTTCACTCACAGTCAGTGCTGTCTCTAGCATTTGAAAAACAAAAAAAAAGTACCAACTACCACATTTATAGCCATTAAAAAGAATATTCATAGTTTTTAAAAAACATGAATAAATATTTGTGTTATAAATGCAAAACAGTGCAATACAAAACATTTTTAGAGACTACACAGCAACACCCCTGGTTATCTACGGGATTTTTTATTTATCTTCCAACTTTTCCGCATTATAGGTGAATTATTTCTAGCATCAGAATTTAAACAAGAAAGAGACGCAAATAGAGGTGCATAAGAAAGAATACCCCGACCTTGGGTGAAGCAAGAGCAGGAGCAGCTGGAGTGGCAGGAGCGAGAGGAGGTGAGGAAGCCCCCACACTGGTGTTGCCAGGAAGTGCTGAGAGTCTGGCCTCACTGGGAGTGAGGCTCAGAGAATAACAAGGAGAGCCCAACTGGGCTGTGCACCAAGGGACCTCACCACTACCACTGCCACTGCCACAGGATTTTAAAGCAGACTATACCACATGATACACACTGTCATTTGGGACTCAGAGACGGTTAATTCTGCATTCAACTCACTCTGCTCTGGCTCACATCCACTTGAATTACGTGTGCACGGCTATGCCACCAAGAAGAGCATAAGCTCATGCAGAACTGCTAATTATTCCATTTGTATCCCCCATGGCTGAAACAAAGCTGTATGCACACACGACAGTCCCTCAATATTTGCTGGATAAAAATGATCATGGGGTCAGCAGGGGAAAGGGACATGCAACTATAAACCCACATGCAATATACTACTAATTAGTTCAAAGAAACAAATTCATGAACAAAAGAGGCAATAAATCATTGTGACAGTACTCATTTGTAAAAAGCATAAGACTCATCATATGAGCACCTACTAATTATCAGGCACTGTGTGTGATGTTTTACCCGATTATTTCAAATCCCCAAAGCATCACCTTCTAATAACTTGCCATCACCACCTATGTAGTAGGTAATGGCACCAGAAGCAGAACCTAACTACAGCAGGTTCCAAAATCAGTGTGGTGCGCCCTGCCCCACGCTGGGTCTCAACTGCAGAATTAAAGGGTTTGGTACTGTACTTACTGAAGAGAATGTGCTCAGCCAGATTTGCAATCAGCCTTCTTCGGAAGGATTCATCGGTTACATTTCTGGACTCATCGATGGATGTGTCTGCACCTTCATCAGCAGCATCACTGGGTCTGAAAAGAATTGTTTTAATTAGACTCTACAAGCTCTTTTATAACCAAACTATCCAAAACTAAGGCATAAATGTCTTAAATACTTTCAATTACTCTATAATGTAAATTTAAATCACAAATAGATTTATATGCATTGTTTCCCTCCACAATATGCCTTACTATATTTATATATGTAGTATACTCTCCTGACCAAAAGATTTTATTGAGTCATGACTAGATAATCTATTGATACATCACTTCCAAAATCCACTGGCTGAAAAAAGCAAGATACCTCATTTTAAGACATTTCTAAAATTGAACACATTAAGGGAAGGGCTTAATATTTAATTTTGCTAAGTTACGATTCAACTTAAATTCTAGAAAATCTACTAGGAACTCTTCTATACACTGCACTTAGGTACAATACACATAACCTATGCTACTATGGAATTCAGTTCCAACATTCAAAAGTATAAATCAAGTAAGAACTCATACCTGATTCACACAATCAAAAAGATGTTAGAACACAAATAATCAAAAGCCTCCAGACTGATATGAAAATGCGTTACTTCACTATCCTTTAACAGACCAAGAGAATTACCCAAAGTGAGGATGTGAAAATGAGAATGTGCTCATTCTTCATACCCGCCCTACGACCCAACAATTGCACTGCTGGGGATTTACCCCAAAGATACAGATGCAATGAAACGCCGGGACACCTGCACCCCGATGTTTCTAGCAGCAATGTCCACAATAGCCAAACTGTGGAAGGAGCCTCGGTGTCCATCGAAAGATGAATGGATAAAGAAGATGTGGTCTATGTATACAATGGACTATTCCTCAACCATTAGAAACGACAAATACCCGCCATTTGCTTCGACGTGGATGGAACTGGAGGGTATTATGCTGAGTGAAGTAAGTCAGTCGGAGAAGGACAAACAGTATATGTTCTCATTCATTTGGGGAATATAAATAATAGTGAAAGGGAATGGAAGGGAAAGGAGAAGAAATGTGTGGGAAATGTCAGAAAGGGAGACAGAACATAAAGACTCCTAACTCTGGGAAGTGAACTGGGGGTGGTGGAAGGGGAGGAGGGCGGGGGGTGGGGGTGAATGGGTGACGGGCACTGAGGGGGGCACTTGACGGGATGAGCACTGGGTGTTATTCTGTATATTGGCAAATTGAACACCAATAAAAAATAAATTTATTATTTAAAAAAATTCTTTAGAAGAATTTGGGGATGAGTTTGAGTTTAGTGCATAAAGAAGTAAACATTGACAAATTTAAGCTATAATTAACTCCAGGGAAAATAAACGTTGTACAAACAAGCAAATTGTAACAAAAAGAAAAAAATCTATCTTTCTGTACAATGCCAGAAGTAACAGATTATCTGATAGTTTAGGTAGTATAAAAAATGTCCACAAATCTTACCTTAAAGGAAGTATAGCTGGTAACAATGCTTGCTCTAGAGAAAGTGGAGCAGATAAAGGTTTCTGACTTTGGCTTTCTAAATATTCCTGGGGGTGGGGAGGGAATACAATACAATCATTAACTTCCATTGTTCTTGCTTACATAAGCCTATATAAAATATAATTCAATCTTCAAAAAATAAAAAGGGAGTGGTTTATAAAATGAGCCATGCTACAGAGTAGGAGAAGTACTTTCTATATCCTAACTACCTTCGAAAATGTAGAACGACACCTACAATGTTGGCAAGCATGAAATCTAAGGACTGATGATACAAAGGATGGGACAATGAATGCTTAAGCAAAATTACATATTTTTTAGTTAAAAAAAATTTTTTTAAGTAGGCTCCACACCCAATGTGGGGCTTGAACTCCCAACTCTGAGATCAAGAGTTGCATGCCCTACCAAGAACTTTTCTCATATCTACACAAAACTATCTGACATTCCCAATATTATATTTAAAAATATAATGCTTATAACCATGCTTTTAAAAATCATGGTTGTGTTATCATAAGGATAGTGATAATAATCATAATGATAATCAACACAACCCTGCTTTTTAAAGGAAATCTGACAACCTGAAAGTCACATAATATTCAAAAGAACCTTAATCCAAAAGCAAATCCTAACAGTATAGAGAAGCTGTACAATAATTTTGAAGAGGATAAAGTGGTTAAGAAAGGACAAGATTCTTGAAAGCAACATAAGGCCAGAAAGCACCTAGCACCACAGTCAGAATCTTTAAAGAAAAACTACGAAAAAGAAAAGGAGGCCTCTGCTCCTTGTCCCTGGGCTCCCGATTCCCTTACTCGTTCTTCTCCCTTCTCCTGGACTGATTTCAGTGATCTCAGGAAAGTAAAACTGCCAGGACCTCAGGGACCCGCCAGCACCAGGCTTCTACACAAACGGTACCATGCCTTTGATAGTATGCATGCTGCATTCCACTCAGTAGAACAGAACATGGTCCTAGACTGTCGATTTTACCCAGGTTTTAGGGGTAGGTTTTGAAAAAATTTCCTCTAAAGACAATTTTAAAACATACTATAAGATACCAATGTATATCAATGTGCATAGTTCTCATGAACTATGAAAGAAACAATAGCAAAAAATGTTGATGCTGGCATCGCCCAGAGATAGACATTTACTGTCCTTTGTCAATAGGCACACTTGGGTGGGAAAATTTAGGAAATGCCAATTTTGACATAGCCCTCATTTTATAAGAGAAGATACCAAGGTCAGAGAGAGAGGAGGCAGCAGAGACAGAACCAAAGCCCACATCTTCTGACACAGAGCTATGCCAGCACTTTAATACTGCTTCGTTCCAATAAATACTCACCTTTAAGGAAAATGGTTGTGCAAAATCCACTCTGACACATCCATAGTTTTTTCGTAACATTCTGATAACTCCTCTAGCTACGCTCCAAAGGCTCTCATTCTTCTTAGGTTTTCCCTGAATGCCAATTTTGAAAGAACAGCATGGTAAGAAATAAAGCTAACAAGGTATTCTGTTACCCAAAAAATGCCATTCATTCATTCATTCATTCATTCACTTATTACTCGGACACTTAAATCAACTGAGCCCAGGTGCCCACCATTTTTTTTTTTATGGAAACTAGATGTTTGTATTAAAAGAGACAACATTGGATAAAGAAGGAAAAGTGTTCATTGACTGAGACCTGTCATAAATGCTTAGCATGCAAAGACACAAAAAGACGTAATCCTTTTATGGGGAGAGACAGTTTGGTCAGTGAAAACCAGAACACTAATTCATTTAGCACACTGTTTACACCACTCACAAAAACACCTCTGCAAAATATGGTACTGGCACAAAAACAGACACATAGATGAACAAAATAGAGTGTCCAGAAATAAACCCATAATTATATGGTCAATTAATCTTCAACAAAGGAAGCAAGAATATGCAATGGTAAAAAAAACTGTCTTCAACAAATTGTGCTGGGAAAACCGGACAACTACTTGCAAAATAATTAAAACTGGATCTCTTTCTTACACCATACACAAAAAAATACACAAAAAATAAACTCAAAATGCATTAAAGAACTAAACGTGAGACCTGAAATGATAAAAATCCTTGAGGAGAGCACAGGCAATAATTTCTCTGTCACTGTTCATACCAATATTTTTCTAGACAGGTCTCAAGACAAGGTAAATAAAGACAAAAATAAACTATTAGGGCTATGTGAAAGTAAAAAAGTTTCTGCACAGCAAAGGAAACACTGAACAAAACTAAATGACAACCTACTACATGGAAGAAGATATTTGCAAAATGACATATGAGATAAAGGGTTAATATTCAAAATGTATAAAAGAACTTAAACAACTCAACACCAAAAACAGAAAAAAAATTAAAAATGGGCAGAGATGCCTAGGTGGCACAGTCCATTGAACATCCAACTCTTAGTTTTGGCTCAAGTCATGATCTCAGGATCATACGATCAAGCCCTTCATCAGGCTCCAGGCTCAGCACAGAGTCTACTTGATTCTTTTTCCCTCTCCCTCTGCCCCTTCCCCTCCCCCCTGTAGGGGTACATACATTCTCTCTCTCAAATAAATGAATCAATCCTTAAAAAAAAAAAAAATGGCAGAAGATATGAACAGATAGTTCTCCAAAGAAGACATGCAGATGCCAACAACACATCATCAGGAAGTTCAAATCAAAACTGCAATGAGGTATCACACCTGTCAGAATGGCTAGCAACAAAACGAGAAACAACTTTTGTCAACGATGTGGAGATAAAAGAACCCTCATGTACTGGTGATGGGAATGCAAACTTGTGCAGCCATTGGAGGTTCCTCAAAAAATTAAACACAGAATTAGCCTACAATCCCATAATCACACACTACTGGGAACTTACCCCAAAATACAAAAGCACTAATTCAAAAGGATAGATGCACCCTAATGTTTATTGCAGCATTATTTACAACAGCCAAAGTATGGAAGCAGCCTAAATCCCTATAGACTGCTGAATGGAGAAAGAAGATGCAGCATATATACATAATAGAATGTCATTCAGCCATAAAAAAGAAATGAAATCTTGCCATTTGCAACAAGGATGTAGCTTATAATTATACTATAGAGTATAATTATAAGCAAAATAAACCAGAGAAATACATATGATTTCACTCACATGTGGAATTTAAGAAACAAAATAAATGAACAAAAGGAAAAGAGCGAGAAGGAGAGGCAAAGAAACAAACAGATCCTCAACTACACAGAACAGATGGTTGCCAGAGGGGAGATAGGTGGGGGGGGGGATGGGAGAAATAGATAAAGGGGATTAAGAGTACACTTAACATAATGAGCACTAAGGAAGGTACAGAACTGCTGAATCACCATTCTGTACACCTGAAACTAATATAATACTATGTTAATTATACTGGAATTGAAATTTAAAACACACAAAAAAGAAAAAATACCATTGCAAACTAACGAAGGATAAAAATTATGCAACAGGCTGGAGAACTGTTCTGCAGTTCTCAGATAAAAATAGGTCAGGTGCCATTTATATGAAGCCTGATGATCACCAGAGCCCACATATCCAATATTAGGCAAGTGAATGCCAAATCTAGCCCCACAGTGGCCTTTAATCCAATTATTCATTTAGTAACATTTACTGAATATTAATATACATAGGGCACAATGATGGCCTCTAACGGACACAGGATACAGATATGGCCTCATGAAACAGGGTGACTGGTGTACATATTCAACACAGACCAATTCAAGGAAGGGTCTCCTAAGAGGAACACAGATGATAATCCGGTCTGTCACTTCATCTTTAAAGCCTCTAATTATCGGGGTGCCTGGGTGGCTCAGTCAGTTAAACATCTGTCTTCGGCTCAGGTCATGGTCTTGGGATCAAGTCCAGAGTCAGGCTCCCTGCTCAGCCAGGAGCCTGCTTCTCCCTCTCCTTCTGCCTCTGCCTACCACTCTGCCTGTTTGTGCGCTCTGTCAAATAAATAAATAAAATCTTTAAAAAAGTAATAAAACCTCTAATTATCTAATATCCTTGAACTTCTGGCATTTTAGGGGCAGTTAAGCTCAAAACCAATACTTTATCCAAGACTTCTACACTAAATCAGAGCAAAACAAAATCCCTCTGGAATTCTCATAATGGGGGTAAGTCGATAAAAGCAATCTGGAAAACTGGCATTATCTGCTAAAGCCAAACATACATATACCTAATGACCCAGCAATTCCACTTGTAGGTACATACCCAACAAAATGCATATACATGGTCATCAAGAGAAATCTACAAGATTGACCATAGTCAAAAACCAGAAACCAAATTGCTTTTCAACAGATCATGGAACATGGCTAAACACAACAACACGGATGCATCTCACAAATGCCTGCTTGAGCAAAGAAAACCAGAAGCAAAAGATCATCCATATATTACATAATTTCATTTACGTAAGAGTTCAAAAATAGGCAAAATTAATCTGTTCTATAAGCAGATAAGTGGTTACCCCTGAGAGGACAGTGATGACAGGGGCATGGTGGGCGGGGGGCAGTTCCTAGGGGCATGATCATACTGTTCCTTGCTGTGCATACCAGTTACACGAGTGTGATCACTTTGCAATCATTCAACCTACATGCTTCTGATTGTGCATTCTTCTCCAAATATTACACTTACTTCAATAAAAAGTTTACTAAAAAATTACTGCCACTTATCAAATGAGTTCACAGTTGCTTTTTCGATGTGATCCCACCACTCCTTCGGGCTGAACTTAAAACCCACACAAAAACCATAAACCCTGGGGAGAACTACATTTAACCCTCCGTGGTAGAGATGGCAACTCAGTGCCAAGTGCTCTTGCCTTTCCCAATTCCACAGTCATGGCCAGCACTGAAAATCTAACCATGTCAGTCCCTCCAAGTGCAGGGAAACAGCAGGTCAGCACTACCAATCAGACTGACACAAAAGATAAGAGCTACTCAGTATGACCACACTACCATGTCTCCCACAGTGCTTTAAATAAAATAATAGCAAAAAAATTCCTAATTGATTCCAAAAGCTTGTATCTAAAAGCAAAAGAGTTGACAGTGAAGAACACTTTTGGGTAAGCAGGCCTCTTACCAGTTGTTCGCCATTGTAGTGACCTTCAATAATACGATCATAGGAGATTCCAACAGGTATTATCAAGATGTCTGGGATAGTATTAGTAGACAGAGTATCTACCACAACTGACAAAAGTCCTGCCCGAGCACAGGACGTTTTTCCACTCCTAGAGCGTGTGCCTTCCAGAAAAATCTCTAAGAATTGCTGCTGTCGAAGTAGCTCAACTATATGCTGGAATGGAAGGAGAATGTAAAATGTGAATTCAAGACCACCCAACTTAGATGAAGCTTACCCAATTAAATCTTAAAACAAACAGAAACCTGTAACTTCACTACTGACAAAATATTTTACTCATGAATAGCAGCAAGCCAGCTCCTCCAATGCTCTATTTTGGTGATAACAGAAATAATCATCAGCCCCATATCCAAACAGTAACCACTTAAATAATTTCTCAGACAATTTTTTAAATCTCAATCAAGTCTCTTTTTCCTTCTACTGTGACAACTACGATAAGGGCTTTAAGAATGAGAGAACGTGGGCAGCCCAGGTGGCTCAGTGGTTTAGTGCTGCCTTTGGCCCAGGGTGTGATCCTGGAGACCCGGGATCAGGTCCCATGTCCAGCTCCCTGCATGGAGCCTGCTTCTCCCTCTGCCTGTGTCTCTGCCTCTCTCTCTCCCTGTATCTCTCATGAATAAATAAATAAAACCTTTTTAAAAAAAAAAAAAAAAAGAATGAGCGAATGTACATACCCCATGGAGCAAAGCTCTATAAAGAATATCCTTCCGTCCATCTGGCGTCTCATCCAGCCTCCGTCGTATGAAAAAGCCTCCAAGCTTATGGATCAAGGTACTGCAAATTAAGGAATGCATTAGTTATTTATAAAGAAAAACGTAAGGATACACAAATTCTAGGTTACTTCAAAACATATGCCACATGAATATAAACCACATGTGTTGTTTGAGCTGACAGTGAAAACATAAGCCTTTTTCCATTTTCCATGTTATTGACATGTTTCCATCATTTGCATCATTTGTCAGCCTTTAGAATATCACTTCATGTACTGAAGCTCTAATAACATCTGTTCCAAACTAAAAGAAGTTTGTACAATATATTACCCTGCAAAGATGGTGTTATAGATTTAAAGAGGATGATGAAATACTGATAAATCTTAAAACTGTCAAAGATCTCAGGACATTGACTGTTAGATATCCTGAAATCTACCTTTGGCACATTTACTACAAAATGAATGTGATGTGGCAGAAGCTCTTTGGGCAAATGTTCTCGGAAAGTACTGCTTAGGGACACCTAGGTCCCTCAGTTGGTAAGCATCTGCCTTCAGCTCAGGTCATGATCCCAGGGTCCTAGGACTGAGCCCCATGTCAGGCTCCCTGCTTAGTCTGCTTCTCCCTCTCCCTTTGCCCCTTCCCCTGCTTGTGTGCAATCTCTCTCAAATAAAATCTTTTTTAAAAAAGAAAGTACTGCTTAGAGAGTGCCTCAGTAAGACAAGGATAATCTTATCAAACCAAAACCAAGCATAACCATTTTCCCAAAACATGAAACAAAAATGTGCTTCATGTACCCTTACAGGGGGATAAAACGATTCTTTTCTCAACCCTATGGTTCTTTCTATGACACTGATGGATTCTGACATTAAAATGAAATTTTGTAATACTTAAGTCAACCTTTCCAAACTCAGAGCATCCCCCTTTTCAAATAGAGTGATATTAATATCAATATCAACATACATTTTCAATATCCTCTGAGAGCAAAACTACAGAGCTATTTGAAGGCAAGGACTATGTTACCTTCTTCACTCTTATCTAAAACATAGCTGGGTAAGTATCAACTGACACATGAATGAATGGCCTCCCTTCAGCCATTCACATGAGTCTGGTCAGCCATAGAACTTTGAGCAAAGGATTAAGAAGGAGCTCCTCGGACTGAGGGTAAAACTTCACAGCACACAAAGGTAATCACACTGCCACTTTGTGAGACCTTCCTTACATGCACAATCTGCCAGTGCACTCCCCCACCAATTACTGTGAATCCATCCTCGTTCTATTCCCGACTGCTCAGAGCTGACCTCAGAGATGCTCTATGCTTTGAAATTTGAGCCTTCAATGTCCTAAACCAACTAAACCTACTCCTCACCCATTCCCCATTGGTGATCAGCTCTACTGTCTACCCAGTCACCAGGTGGTAAATATCTGGGAGGCTTCTTCCCTCATTTCCCCCTCTCCCACTGTGGACTAGCATTTCATCTTATAAATTCACCTAAGTACTCTTAGTGGCCACTCTATGCCTTCCTTACCAAGAGCACCACGACAAATTTTAAGCCTTCATTACCTTTTGCCTAAACTATTGCAATGGTTACAATAGAGCCAGAATTGTTCTAAATCCCTCTAATCCAGAATGACTTTCCAAAATGCAAATCTGACCACTTCCCAACTACAGGATACACTCTATAAACAATTGGCTTAAAAACTCTTGGTTCTGATCTAGCTCTCACTCCCTATGCAATGACCACTTCTGGCCTTTGACCATTTAACTGCATCTCATATTCTAATCCCACTGAATCGCCTGCCCTTCTGACCATACCATGCATTTGAACCTCTCAGCCTCTTCACATACTATTTCCTCTGAATGGAATGCCTTGCATTCTCCCAAAAACCTCTAATTTATACTTTTCGTGTCATGCTGTAATTATTACATGTTCTAGCAGTACTAAATTATTGGGGCAAAGTTAACAGGTATGGTTCTTCTTACGTACTTCCTACCATCACCACAACCCTCATACCCACCCCACCTTCCCCTACTGCCAAGCTTTATACAATATGCTAGCTCATTTTTCTAATGGCCTTTTAACCATTTGATAAATATTGCCAATGAAGTTGAGGTATTCACAGTTCACCAAGTACCCCACATAAAACATAGAAATAATGGTTAATAATCTTAATGCTTTTTTGTACTTTTCAAATTTTCACAATAAACATGCATTACTTATATAGCGAAAGTAAAAAAGCTAATACCATCTTTACAATAACAGGTTTCATGTTTCAAGACATATAATGAAAAAATATTCAACATACAGTCTTTCCACTACCCTAAAATTCAAAATAAGCTGGTCTTACCTGAAGATGGGAATGTTAAGATTATTGCCTGAAGCAATGTATGGTGCTTTGATGTTATGACAGAAGAGAATGAAAGTCAGCAGGAGATAGTCAATATGTGATCTGTGAACTGGCAGGAATATAAGTGGCAAATTCATCTAGTAAAAAAAAAAAAAAAAAAAAAGCCAAATTTAAAATTCAAATGTGAATGTCAAATCAATGAGTCATTGATCTGTGTACAATTGCAATTTTATATTTGGTTAGAATCACTCAAATGCTCATTGATCAATGACTCATTCTTTAAAAACATTTTCCACTAATTTCTCCCAATTTAATACTTCCACAGCTGAAAGCAACAACCACCACAGTAACAATGAGTTAGGAAAGGAGAAGTGCAGTCGAGAATTCAAATGGACTTTATGTACCTTCGGAGAGGCAGCTCTGATCATGTCAAAAGAGCAGAGGGTTTAGAGTCAAGCCTGGCTTGGGTTGAAATCGTGGGCAGTCACTCACTAGCCACGATTGGGAAATCCTTATCTGCACTTCTATTTCTTCATTAAAAATACGGATTGTTTTACCTGATTTCAGAGTTGTTGCAAGGTAACTTACAAAAGGAATCCAGCATATTACTGGCAGGTCCTCCTTTACTCACACCTCCCCAAATGTACAACTACTGTGGTCACCTCACATGGGGGAAATCTTCCAAATGGGTTGGATGCACATAGGACACAAGAGAACATTTCCATACAAAAGACTCTAACATCACTCCACAAACATGGGGATAACAGAATGACAGATAACACAAATTCTTGCCTCAGTTGCAGCTTTAACCATCTCAAGTTGGCCTTTGTGGATCTGAATATTCCAAAAGAAGCTGTTGAACAGTTTAAGCAACACCCATCCTGTCAGTCTAAAAAAAATTTAAAAAGGAAAAAAAAAGGAATTTAAATGTGCATATATACATTGAGAGAGAACTGACTTTTGTCTAAAGTTTCTGAACCTACAACCTAAAAGTGCTCATAAACAACTTAGTGTGTATGTCTGTATCTGAACTTCTGAATTAAAGAGCTGATTTTTACATGTATACGTATAGATACATGTATTTATTAAAGACTAAATCTTACATTTCACTCAAATAGCATACTTTACACTTTAGAAGCAAATCATCAACTGAATATTTAGGTGAGCAGAATGCTGTACAAAACTACTCCCTTTTGGGGCACCTGGGTGGCTCAGTGGTTGAGCATCTGCCTTTGGCTCTGCTCATGATCCTGGGGTCCTGGAATCGAGTCCAGCATCAGGCTCCCCCAGGGAGCCTACTTCTCCCTCTGCCTATGTCTCTACCTCTGTGTCTCTCATGAATAAATAAAATCTTTTTAAAAAGGGGGAGGGAGGGGGCAGCCTGGGTGGCTCAGTGATTTAGTGCCGCCTTCAGCCCAGGGCGTGATCCTGGAGACCCAGGATCAAGTCCCACGTCGGGCTCCCTGCATGGAGCCTGCTTCTCCCTCTGCCTGCCTGTGTCTCTGCCTCTCTGTCTCTCTGTCTCTCTCTCTCTGTCTCTCATGAATAAATAAATAAAATCTTTAAAAAAAAAAAAACACTCTGTAAGATATGGATATGTGAAATCTACCACACAAGTCTAGAGAGATGTCAGCTGTTGTACAATGGTTGCTATCAATTAACAAAGATCAAGGCACCTCAAATCCTACCACAGTGCTACTTCCTATGGAAGCTGAATAAGAATATAAAAAGGAGTTAGTTTTAACATCAGAACATGCTCAAACTTCCTTTGGACGGAAACCATTGCACTAGGAAAGTCCAATGGTTCAGTCCCTGTTTGCTCAAAACCGGATGGCTCTGAAGGAAAGCTTTTTGCTTTGACTTTTAATACCTGATCATTGTTGGTGAGACGGTGGCAACCATTTCTTGAAGGATCCTTTTGGCTTTCTTTTTCACTTTACTGATGGCTTTTGATTGCTGCTGAGCAGAACCATCAGGATTTAATTCAGCAGCCACTTCTGCAATTGCCTCTTGAACTCTGATTTTAAAACAGAAAGACAATGTAACTGGTTCTAGGATACATTCTGCATTCAGTATTTTCTAAATCACAGCTATAAATCACAAGAAAAGCTATAAATCTCCTTAATATACTTATAGAACCTGAAAGTAAGCTCAAATTAGATATGTTTTGTTTGACTGCCCACTAAATATTAAGGATATTACACTCCTAAATCAAGGAATCTCTGAGGTATCTGGAAGGCAGATTTAAGAATCTAACTCAAATTCATTGGGTTAACAACTACATGAATTGAATGTTCCAGGTATCCTGCAAGGGATACAAAGTTGCAGTCTAGCAGAGGGAGAGAAAGAAAGGTTATCCTTTCAGGAATATAATTCAGAGGTATCCAAAGCCCCCTGCCAAGGTGAAGTGTGATTTTTCTTCTTGAAGACTTTACTACTCATTTATATTGTGACTTTATTAGAACTCTATGTAGAACTCTCTAGGAGGGATCAAAGAGGAATTTAAATATTTACAAGTGTTTCCCATATCAATTTACTAATATAAGAAAGTCATAGCTCAAGATTAAAACAACACACAGTGATAAGTGGTAAAGTAAGAGGTAAGATTTAACCTAGTTTTTGTAAATCTTCCATGTGACTTAGGGAACACTTAAATCACTTTTAATATCCTAGTTACTAGTCAAAACAGGCAATGGAATGAAACATACTTAAAGGTTTTTACCTAGAAAACAGAATACACAATAACCCAAAGGAATTTCAAATAATTACATTTTTCTCCCACCGTTGCTACTGATTTCATACTAGTACACAGCAAAACCCCACATAGTCCCATAATTCATTAATACAAAAGATCAATTCCATAGGACACTAATGCACCTTCAGCCTATTCCTTTAATACCTTCATTTCAATCTGGCCAGGCATGTTTTTTACAAGTAATTGAGAAGATAACTAAATCTCCAGATCAACTATTTTCTCATTCATTCATTCATTCATTCATTCATTCATTCATTCTTTACTGAGTACCTACTATGTGCCACCACTGTTCAGGCCTCAACAACCACAGCATAGGGCCTGCATTTCAAAGCGGTCTTTCTAACCACTCTGATTTCTGGTCCCTAAATCCAGCTAGATATCTACATGGGCCACACCAATGAGGTGGAGCAGAGACTGACCTTCCTGCAAACTCCCATACTCTAACACTTAAACTTGAGAATGATTTATTTCCCCACTGAGTTCAAGTCACTCCCATTTGTAAGCAAGCTCTTCTAAGACCAAGGACAGAATTTTATTCTCTTAAAATTTCTAGGAAGGATTTTCTAGCAGAAAAATTTGTACCTACGTACTCAATAACTGAAATAGCAAATGCACTTCTCTTTCAGCTATAAGATAGGAAACATAATGTCCCAAATATTCATATTAAAGAAAACAGAACTAGGTATGTGCATCTCTGAATTCTAACTCACCTTTCACATATTAGAAGCCCATTTGATTGTTAATGCATAAACAAGACTACTATTCACAAAACCACCTGTTTTCCTGCCTTTCCTTGCTTTCCCTTGTAGTTTAACATTTAACATTTGGAAATGGAAATCCCACTTAAAACAGAGTCCCAGAGAAACTAAAGGTTAATAAAGGAATTGATCCCCCCACTCCCTCACCCCATCCCTGCCTCTTCCCCTTACAAGAGTATCCTTACCCTTACCTACTGCTGTTCAGTACATTTTCAGCCACATTGGTGGCAAACATGCCTCTATGGACATCTCGCTCTTGAATAAAAAGCACATAAGAAAGACGTCTTGCAAGCCATCCTCGGTGCCTGCAATGTGAAAAAAGACTTAGCAGAGAGTAGACTAGGAAGACCTAAAAAAAATTGAAGTATACAGTAGTTTCCCTTGTTTCATCTATTCCTGAAATGTGGCATACTATAGCAAATTCTCCGTAGTAGTTCAGAATGATTTGCATAGACAGTTTCATTCCAGATTTCTTTCATGTACTCTCAACTAAAATTTCAACTTGGAATTTGTGTACTAAAATGCTTGGTTTAAAAAAAAAAAATGCCTGGTTTTTACTCTGCCAAAAATAAACCAAATATAAAAACAAAAGAAATAAAAATGTCTTACTTTATTAAAACATTGTTAAAAGCAAGTATGTTGAATGAGATCTATATATTTAACTGTGAGCTATAAAGAAAAAGTTTGGAAGTCTTTTCTACACAAAGGGCTATTTTTTATTAAAGTTAATTTTTTTTTTTAATCTAAGGTATCACTGACTCTCATATTGAATTGACAAGGCTGACTAGTTGAGAAAAGTCAAGGATAGCTCAAGTACGGTCTGAACATTTGTATACTGGGCTTACGAAGCCAGAAATTCTTACCTTTCCCCACCCCCGACATTTGACATATCTTAGGCCTAGGACACATTCCCATCAGTGTTGCTGACTATGTGTTACTTATTAGGGCTTTGGGGACAGAGACCACAAAATAAGAATGCTACAAACCTTCACATGCAAGGATTTGAAATCATTTGTAATGATTATATAATGCCTCACTATCATTTCCTCATAAGCACATTCAAATGGATTTCAAATATAAATTCATGAATTTTGAAAAGCCCTCAGTTGAGGAAAGTAACTGGAGGAAGAACTATTGATGAATCACTCATTCCTTCACCTTTTTTCCGGATATTCTATTTCTACCTCCTATCCTCTCATTTCTCTGCAAACTTGACCCACTATGTTAAGTGTTTACTTCTAAATTCTTCCTTGAGTGAGCACTTTCAGAACTGTTATTAGAATGTGCAAAGTCCCAGTTCCTGATGAAATCCTTTTGCAATGGATTGAGTTGTGGGGGGAGGGAGGGTGGTGTGTGTGTTTATAAAACTGTCTAGGCTTTGCTCCATGTAACATGCAGAGAAAAGCTAGGTAGCCAGCTCAACTGCAGAGGCAGCTCATCACACAGACTGGTTTCCAATTGCCTAGTCAGTACAGCATATGCTTTTTTTTTTTTTCTTTTTCCTTAACTGCCTCCAACTGAGGACAACAAATGAACCCTTGGCTTTATACATAAAATGGCTACTTAAACAAGAAGAGACCCTATGAGATTTTCCTTAAGTCAAATAGGGAGGGAAAAAAAAAATAGTGGGCCAGAATTTCTCCCCTCTCCTTTAAACTTAAGACAGAGAAAAAAGATAGCATGGGAATGGGGAAAAATACATCCCTTGACTTTGATTCGATTAAAAAAAAAAAAAAAGAACTTTTATATGCAGGTATTGTCAAGCTCACTTATGATCTCATCACCAAAATATGAGCAGTAACATCAGAAAGCCTTCAAATTTAAGTACTTGACTTTTTTGGATCAATTTTTCCCAGAATTTCAAGCATGTCTCATCACCTGAACCTACTTGCTGACCCACTCCAGGCATTTACTCTTAGAATTAGTTGTAAGGACTGGCAGCATTTTTGGCTGCCATTCTCTTCTGCCTCACAGACATTCACACAACCTTCCCCTCCCCCTCCCTTCCCCCTAGCCTAGATTCACATAAAACAAAGCCTCTTTTCTCTGGCTCGGATGCCTAACAGCCCATCTCCATCTTCAGTGTGCCTGAAGTCTCGAAGAATTCTAAAGAAAATCTTAACCTAATAAATCAAAGAACATTTGCTCAATGCAGGAACACATCTTTTAAAACTCCATAAATTAGGCTGATTTCAATTTTTGAGTATAAAATAATAATAGATAAGACATTTGAAACTCTTTCCTCAGACAAATCTTTTATCGTTTTGGCACACTTCAGATATAAAATCAATATACAAATAAAAAAAGAAAGCTATTAAGAGAATCTTAAAATAGTTACTCTCCCAAAATAGTTACTAAATCATTACAAAGTGTAATAGTAACAGGCTGCTCAGGGGGCTGTGCTGCTTCCAGTTTTTAGATAAAGCCCCTTGTATCCAAAGCTCAATTCTATTAGCTTTAAAAAAGATGAAGAGATTCCTCTTAGAATATATCCATTCATTATTATAGTATTTCTTTTGAGAGGTATTAGAAATAAAAGAAATTGCTTTTTACCTTGTGTGAGTTTCATTGATATAAATAACATTCCGCAAACCCAAAGATGGGATACTGGAGTTGAAAAATTTATCCTACATGAAACAAAATGTAGACGTAAGTATACAACTGGACTGCTGGTGAAGAGCTCACATTACTACTTCTTGATAACCTTTATAACTCAGTTTAAAGTTAAGCATTGCTTCAAAAATCTAAGTGATGAAGAAAATTTATGTTTTGTTGAAAAAAAAAAAAGTACTTGTCAGCCTTCAAAGAAGGTCACAAGCTCAGAACTAAGGCTACTACCTTGCAAAGGAAATTGTGCCTCCCTTTCCTGCCTCACTCCCTTACCTCCAACCCACAAGGGTTGAAACTACTGAAAGCTTGTTAAATCACTGCCAGGAATACTGGAGATTTCAGTGTTCTCCAAATGCAAAAATATTATGCTAAGTACCATGTAGTTATCATTAGATTACTGAATCTGGTAATAATCCTGACACAATAATTATTATCCCCATTTTACAGATAGGAAAATTGAGGCTGACAGACACTTTAATTTTCAAATCTACATCTTGCTCGAAAAAGTATGGTCTTTCTAGTTCTTTAAAATGACTGTTTACTTAATTGGAAAGTGTATGGCTAGATGTCACTCTGTACAGGAAACCTTAAAGGGTAATTCAGAGATAGTTCTGCTGAAAAGAGAGTCTGTAGCTTTAGCAGTGTGGACAAAAAGAAAACATTCCACAAATAAATGCTGGGAAAGCATAATGTACCTTCGATAGAAAATATAAAAATATGTGGAATCTCTTTAGAGATAAGGAAAACAAGATATCAGAGAAAGGATAACAAATATCAAAAAATCACTATTTAAATACTGTTTAAAATTATTTTGAATAAACATGCCAAAGGAAGAACTTTATGTTCAACTCCATCAGGTTCTGTATTTAAGCACAAAAATCAGTTATTTACTATACAATTCATCTATGCCTCCCCAAAACACCCCTCCCACCACCAAATAATTTCCTATACTATCTCTTGACTTAAGAACATATTAGAGTCAGGGCCTCTAGGTGGCTCAGTCAATTGAGCTTTGGACTCTTGTTTTTGGCCCAGTCCCTGATTTCTGTGTCATGGGATCAAGCTCCATGAGGCTCCGTGCTCAGCAAAGAATCTGCTTGGGGCTCTCCCTCCTTCTGTCTCTGCCCCTTTTTCATGCTTGTGCATACGTGTGCACTCGCTCACTCTCTCTCGCTCTCTTTTCAAAAAAATCTTTAAAAAAAGAATGCATTAAAGTCAAAGCCACATGACCGTTTATTTAAATTTGTATTTCAACTGGCCTATTCATCTGAACTAGCCTTACTTCTAGACTAGAAATATCATGGTCCTTCAATACTACTAAATTCCTCCAACAAGGCACTTGTGATTTAAGAGGAACAGTATCTATAACTAAGATATTCTTGAGCAGACCAGAATATTGAACATAAACTGCCTGGGTCCCACACAAATCTCTCCCAAATTAGTGAATCCCTTTATACAACTCAGAATCTACAACCCTGAGTAGAAAACTCACATAGCACAGTTAGCTCTCTACACAGATTATAAGCAATGTCAATAAATGAAAGGCACTCAAAAGGCAGAATTTCTATCCTGGTAACTATCCCATCCCAGAGAGAGCTTAACATACAGGCATACCTTTTTTTCTTTTTTAAAGATTTTATTTATTTATTCATGAGAGACAGAGAGAGAGAGAGAGAGAGAGAGAGAGAGAGAGAGAGGCAGAGACACAGGCAGAGGGAGAAGCAGACACTATGCGGGGAGCCCAATATGGGACTCGATCCTGGGACTCCAGGATCATGCCCTGGGCTGAAGGTGGGCGCTCAACCACTGAGCCACCCAGGCATCCACCAGGCATACCTTTTAAAAGGTAATTCTAAAAAAAATTAAAATAAAATAAAATAAAATAAAATAAAATAAAATAAAATAAAATAAAAAATAAAATAATAAAATTAAATAAAATTTAAAAAATTAAAAAAAAAATAAAATAAAATAAAATAAAATAAAAAATAAAAAATAAATAAAAGGTAATTCTACTGCCCAAGAACACAGGCACATTAGATTTTACATTCCTGTGCTAATTCATCCCTCTAGCAAATTAGCAACAGAGGCTTGCTTTTCATCCAACTGATTATTCAAATACTTAAACTGTAATGTGGAAGATTTTGCATGATGTGCTTATTTTACCAAAATGCAAGCAACAAACCCATACACATTCTATTTAAAATTTTCATCCTGGGATGCTAGGTGGCTCAGAGGTTGAGTGCCTGCCTTCGGCTCAGGACATGATCCCGGGATCTGAAATCAAGTCCCACATCAGGCTCCTTGCAAGGAGCCTACTTCTCCCTCTGCCAGTGCCTCTGCCTCTCTGTGTGTGTCTCTTACGAATAAATAAAATCTTTTAAAAAATAAAATTTTATCCTAACACTTTTTTGAAAATTTTATTTATGTATTTGAGAGAGTGAGCACACGTGCGAATGAGCATAAATGGGGGGGGGGAGGAGAAGAGGGAGAGGGAGAAGCAGATTCCCCTTTGAGCAGGGAGCCAGACACAGGACTGGATCCCAGGACCCTGAGATCACGACCTGAGCCAAAAGCAGATGCTTAACCTACTGAGCCACCCAGGCACCCCTTATGTTTTAAAAGATTTTTATTTATTTATTTATTTATTGAGGGGGAGAGAGAGAGAGAATCTCAGACTCCAAAGACTACACTGAGCAGAGCATGAAGCAGAGCTCGATCTCACAACCCTGAGATCATGACCTGAGCAGAAATCAGGAGTCATATGTCTATCTGAATGAGTCACTCAGGCACCCCATCCTAACATTTTCATAACCATCCTTCACTATCATAGTCAACAGATACCCATCCTCCCTACCTGTCCTCCCCCTCAACAGAAACTTAGCAAAAGGAGAGTAGGACAGAGCCACATCTTTAAAACTTTACTCTGTCCTGCTATCTCTTGCTCATCTTGCTAGGATTTTAAGATTAAGTTAAAGTTCAACATCTAGAAGTTATATGAAGGTTCCTATTAAACTCTTTAGAAAGAGTAATTTAAAAGATCTACTCTTCCCCTAAAGTCCTGCTAAACTTAAAAAGAACTGGGGAACCTAAGTGGCTCAGTTAGTTAAGAGTCCATCTTCAGCTAACATCATGACTCCAGAATGGAGCTCAGCAAGAAGTCAGTTTCTCCAAGTGCTCCTCCTCCTCCTCCCACTGCTCTCCGTCTCATAGGCTCTCAGGCACACATTTTTCTCTCTCAAATAAATAAATCTTTAAAAAAAAAAAAAACTAAAAAAGAACCAAATTATCACTTATCATCAACTGTTTGACCAATATTTACTAAAAAAAAAAAAAATGAATGGAAAGAAAAATTGAGTCAACATCGTTACTTGGAATATTTGGTTTAAAAACATGGGCCTAGGGATCCCTGGGTGGCGCAGCGGTTTGGCGCCTGCCTTTGGCCCAGGGCGCGATCCTGGAGACCCGGGATCGAATCCCATGTCAGGCTCCCGGTGCATGGAGCCTGCTTCTCCCTCTGCCTATGTCTCTGCCTCTCTCTCTCTCTGTATGACTATCATAAATAAAAAAAAAAAAAAATGGGCCTAAATTCTAAAAATGAACTAAGTCCATTCAAACTATCCAATGATAAAATTCACACAAAGCTGGAATTTCACTGTGTTTATTAAAGGTCAACAAGCAGTAACATTCTTACCCAGCTCTGGGGAGTACAGGAGTAACAACATCTTCCAACAAATGGCCTTTTCCGGCTCATTAGGCTTTCTTTCCATTTTAAGGTTGCAGATCTGAAGACAGTAGGTCTGAAACCACACTCAGCCTAATAAATGTTAATGAAAAAAAAGGGTCTGAATGGCAAGAGAACTCTATTTGTCCACTTGGTCTCTAAAACTAAGATATTTCAGATAGAAGAGAAACCTAGGACTTAGTTCGGGTAGTAAGTTTCTCAGAGTAATTTTCCTTCATGGTACTTCCCCTCCATCATCAACACTTGGAACAAAACTTGGAACACAAGCAAAAAGCAAGCACCTAAGAGTAATAGCAAGGTCCACTGCACAGAGGTTCAAAAACAGTTGTACAAGGTTAAGCAGCCTGTGACAACACCAGGATGAACAAAACCAGACTCCTGATCCATATGCTAATAATCAACCTTATCCCTCTCCAATCACAGACTCCCACAAAACCACTACAAAGCCTTAAACAGCAAGTAACTTGTCATTTACAGCTTAAAATATTTTAAACAAAAAACAAGGTAAACTTATATAACATTCCTTTATCCTGACAACAGAGTTTAAAGGCTGGAATTTAGATCATAGCCATACTGTCCAATTGGGGTCAAATTCTACTCATTGTTCTAAACATTTTGCTCATTGAGTTCGTAAGTAGCTCAAATCCCATGGATATAGTATTCTCAAAAATAAGCCAAAAAGCCCCAAAACTCTGACATCATTTTTTATATTAAAGCAGATAGTGTTCAGGAAACATTTTAAACATGCCACGTTACGTCAAAACAAAAACAATACAAGAAAATGCATGTCCTTTGAATTGAGATTCATACTAATATTTATTTCCTGCTTTTATTTTTTTTAAACTTTATTTCCATTGCAAAATCCATTATTACATTATGGAAATAGACACAGAAAGTATCTTATAGGACACCATCCAAAACAACTCCTAGTTGTTTTTTTTTTCTATGCAAAATATTTTGCTTTTTAACATAACCACGGTGCTTAAATATCCCACCCAATTTTTCCCTTCCCAATTAACATAAAACCGTAAGAATGTTTAAATATTAGGCTTCATAAACATATCTTCTAACAGCTGGAGGCAGTTTCTTTGGCTATTAACTTCTATTTGATATTATGTTGCTTCCAGCTTCCTTCATAAACAACATTGAAACAAACATCTTTAGGTTGAATTTTTACCATATTAAACTTACCCATTCCTCATTTGCATGCTTACATCGACCCACACTGTATTCAGATGAATTTGGCAAATAAGAAACATCTATTGTGCCAAGGGTCAGTGCAGATTCATCCATGTCACAAAGAGTAACTTCCAAATCATGTGCTATTAAAAAAAAAAATACACCATTTAAATTTAATGACTAATCCAGGTGGCAAATTATTTTGTTCCATCATAGGATGCCAAGTGAACTACTGGTGTACTTCTACCATGTTCAGTCAATGTGTAAAGGTAGACTTTGATGTGTTTAAACTCAACAACTCCAGTAAACTATTCTGATTTTTTTTTTAAATCAACATTTGTGTCCTTAGACTTCCTGAAAAAAATAGCCATGAATGTGCAAGGGTAAATAACAGCTTATTTCAGGTACGTGACCAAGAATTCCGGAAGGATGAAGGCATGTGCTTACTTAATTAAATAAAAGTTATGTGTATGCACACAAGCACTTTTTTAAAATTATGTGCTGGGAATTTTTGGTCTTACATACTCTCAAGTTTCCCACTTGAATTAAGCGGCCAGTTTTCTTGTTTTGCCTTAAATGCAATATTTGCACTTTTAATACACCTACAGGGCTCTAAGTCAAAACCAACACTGTCTTGAAATAACCTGATTTAAAAGCTTTCCCCCTTTTCAATAAGCCTTTTCGTACCCTAAGGGAAAATGTTCATGAACAGTGAGCTGCTAAAGAAAACAGAGATTAACCTAAAATACAAAAACTCCCTAACAGAATTCTCAAATTGCCTTAGCTCTCGGCTATTTCTCACCAGTCCTTAAATTATTCCCTTAAAACTCTGAAAGGTCACGTCCAGGGTAACAGTGTCACTCCCCAGATGGGTTTGCTGCGGTAACCTGTATCCTTGCCACAACCACCCGGTAGTCCTTAACAATGTAACGCATCAACCTAGCTTAATTGGCCAGTTGAGAGAACAGCAAAGCAACGCACCTGGCCCAGAAAGCTCTTCACGCTTCTGGAAAAAAAAAAATCAGCTATTAGTTTCACTTGCAGGATGCAGGACGTGGCTACAACAGGGGGAGCCCCGCTGCCGCCCCAGAAAGTCGCTGCTGGCCCCGGGGATGGGAGAGTAGTGAGGGGGAGAAGGAGTCTTGTGCCAATAGGAAGTCACGCTACGCTCCTCCCTCCCTACAGCGTTTATCCAAGGTCAGTAAAACAAGATCTGGGGGCGCCAGACTCGGGGGGGGGGGGGGGGAGGAACCCGCTCTGGGTTTTGAAAAGAACAGAGAGAGAAAGAGAGAGGAGGGTCAGCTCTGAAGCACAACATACCCGAGTTCGAATCCCCCACTGCTGATCACATGTGTGACTTTGAGCAAGTTGGGTAACTTCTATGCCTTGGTTTCCCCATCTGGAAAATGGGCACAAGATGAGTTGCTCTTACCTCCTGGAGTTGCTGGGAGGGCTGGACGGTACTCACAAAGCGCCTTACACGGCGCGTGGCACGCGGTGTGCGCTCAGCCCCCGCCCCCCTCCTGTGTCCTGGGGCTGCCCGAGCCCCCACGACTCTCTCCGGCGCGCAGGCTGCTCCATCCACGGGAGCCTCCCTCCGCCCCAGGGGCGCCCGCCGCAGCCCAGCCCCCCGACCCCCGGGCGGCACGAGCCGGGCCCACTTGTCAGAGGGGCCCCTGGAGCTGCGGGGAGGGCGACGACGCACCTGTCGCGGCGCCCCGGGCCCGAGCAGCCTCCCGCGGCCGCGCTCGTCCTCGCAGGGCACGCCCGGCGGCTCCGCCCGCTCCGGCTCGGGCTCCTGCGGCTGCCGGCACTTCAAGCCTCCGCCGGCGCTGCTGCAACGTCGCGGCGGGATGACGCAACGGGCGCCCGCGAGTGAGCGCAGCCGGCCCCGGGCGGGGGGGGCGGGGGGGGCGGGGGGGCGCCCGGGCTCCGCGTGCCGACGGCGCCGAGCGTGCGCGCACAGAGCCCGGCGGGGCCAAGGCTGCGGCGGGGGCGCCTAACCCGACGCTCACTCCGCCTAGGCGCCGAGTCACGTGAGCGTGTGGCGCGCGCCTGCGCGCTGGTGCACGTGCGCCTAGGGCTACATTGTATCCCTTCCGCGCAGCTGGAGGTCTGCACCTGCCGCGGCCCTGCTGGGAGCCTTCGCCGGGCCTCTGGGGGTCCCATAGGCCTGTGCGGTCAGCCTTCGTGAGGTCTCTCTTTTTTTTTAAGTTATATTTTATTGGAGTTCAAATTGCCAACATAGAGCGTAACACCCAGTGCTCATCCCATCAGGTGCCCCCCTCAGTGCCCGTCACCCAGTCACCCCCACCTCCCTTCCACCACCCCTTTGTTCCTTTCCCAGAGTTAGGAGTCTCTCATGTTCTGTCTCCCTCTCTGACATTTCCCACTCATTTTTTCTCCTTTCCCCTTTATTCCCTTTCACTATTTTTTAATTCCCCAAATGAATGAGACCATATAATGTTTGTCGTTCTCCGATTGACTTATTTCACTCTTCGTGAGGTTTCGAAGCGTATACACAAGTCGTCAGGCTTGGGGGAGGTGGGGTTTGGGAACGACCCGGTTGTGTAATTTCTGGGACAGTGGCTGAGTCACAGTGGAATGGACTCAAGCAATGGAATAAAATGAGTTGAAAAAGAAATAAGGCTTTGAAAGAGCTGGAGTCCAAATTGGCCTACCTTTAGTTCTTCCTGGGGCAAATACTTCACGGTATTTGTCATGCCGTTGGCGAGGCCGATGGTTATGAAGAATATTAGCAATTTGGAAAGCAAAAGACAACCTTTTACACGCAGCGTAGCAACAAGCATTAAGTTTGAACCAACAGATGGGAATACAGACATAATTAAGACGGTATAAATCCCTGCTCTCACACCTCTGCCACCAGTCCTCATCTCCTCTGTGCACATTAACCCTAACGGTCTCTTGGAAACACATCTTCCATGTCCTCCCATCAAACACCATCCAGAGCTCTCCACAGTCCAAATGCCTGAGCCTGGCACATAAGGCCTCCCCTGGTAGAGCTCTATTTTCCCCACTGTTCTCCAGGAGGAGCTCCCACTTCAACTTCTCTATTCCCTAGTTAAGCCATGGGCTCCCATACTCTCATGCTCACACCACTTTTTCCTAAATTCTATAGTTCTTCCCTGAACTAGATCTCCAAGCCTTCCCTCATCTCTCCTGCCCTCAGTAATCACACCCTTCTGTGAAATCTCAGATTTACTGTGGTGCCACACCTTCGGTCTTTATCAATATGTGTCGTTCTTCCAAAATATTATGAATTTATCAATGTCAGTGATTTGTCTCAATCTCTTAGGTAATAACAACAACACTTTGTTATTGCAAACACTCAGTAAATACTGTTGAAGCTGTGGAGCAAGAAGAAAAACAAGAATTCCTTTTCTTGAACTTTCTGCTTGTATTCCTAAATCCATCTCAAAATGGAGAGATATCCTTTTAAACCAATCCAAACTGTAGGAGCATTAAAAAAAAAAAAAGATTGAGCTGCTTAAAGCCAAAGACCCTGCCTTTATTCAACCCAACATACCCCTTAACTCCAAGCACACACCTAAGTACTCAAGGACTGTATTGATGAGAATACGATGAATTCTAATCCCAAAACATCATGACATTTTGTGTATAGATTACTGGTCCCTGGGCAGCCCAGGTGGCTCAGCGGTTTAGCGCTGCCTTCAGCCCAGGGCACGATCCTGGAGACCTAGATCGAGTCCCACATCGGGCTCCTTGCTTGGAGCCTGCTTCTCCCTCTGCCTGTGTCTCTGCCTCTCTCTCTCTCTCTCTCTCTCTCTCTCTCTCTCTCTGTGTGTGTGTGTGTGTGTGTGTCTATGAATAAATAAATAAAATCTTAAAAAAAAAGGACTACTGGTCCCTGACCAAAAAGAGAAAGAAACAAGGAGAGGAGAAAACCGAGGACAGTCTCAGGGTTTGAAGTCACTACTAAAGAGAAAGTGATGAGAAATTAAGTACAGAGAGCATTGCAGGAATGAAAATGGAATCCAGAGGGGAAAATCAGATTAATTTACACAGAGTTTATTTGTAGGCAACTCCTCTGTAATACCCATTGCACAAGAATATCCTGTACTTGTAGGAGATGTGGATTGCAGTACAAGTGTTTCAGGTTACATAATGAGAATTGTTTTTAAAAACAGTTGTCATAACAATATGTTTTATCAACAGAACAATAATAATTTATATAATCCAGTCTGACCAGCCAGGATGGAGCAACATTGACTAAATTTACTCTCCTACTAAAACAACTTAATTAATTAATTAATTAATTAATTAATTCAGCAGTGCAGAACAGTGGTCAATAAGGGAGAGCAGATGCATGCAGTGAGCACTCTGACTACCTCTGCTTACTGCCTAAGAGAGCTGCCAGGTAGCAGTGCAGAGAAGGGAAGCCAGGAAGACCTAGACAGTCTCCTTTAGTTGAGATAGAACTGGGAGATCGGGAAGCTGAAACAGTGGGAGCTGGGAGTAGATTGCTGGAGAGAAGAGAACTATACAGTGAAATGGGGAGCTCCGGAGACCCACAGAAGATCTTGCTCCAGTCTTCAACTGTTTAGCACGTGAGTGTAAGCTACCCCAGAGTAAGAGCCACCTAGATAGAGAGAACAATCACCAAAGCTTGCACAGGGCAGGGAATTGTTTCTGTTCCCACAAATCAGAGTGGAGAGATACCCAGTGATCATACAGGACAAGGAAGAGGACCTGAGCCTGGGACCCAGATCAGAAACCTCATAATTCATGGCTTATGGGCAGCCCAGGTGCTCAGTGGTTTAGTGCTGCCTTCAGCCCAGGGTGTGATCCTGGAGACCCAGGATCGAGTCCTGCATCGGGCTTCCTGCATGGAGCCTGCTTTTCTCTCTGCCTGTGTCTCTGCCTCTCTCTCTCTCTCTCTCTCTCTCATGAATAAATAAATAAAATCTTTAAAAAAAATTCATGGCTCAATAGGTCTTGTCTCAGTAGTGAGATAAAAACAATGACAGAGTAAATGCTACTCTGGTCCTACCAAACAAATCTTAAAAGCCAGCCCCAAAAGGATTGAACTGTTTCCAAGAACAAAGTGTCCCAAAACAGAGCACAACAGTACTTATAGGAAATCAGAAATATCCAGTATCCAACAAGGTAAAACGCACAATGTCTGGCATCTAATCAAAAATGATCAGGCATACAAAAAAAAAGTAGGAAAAAATGGCCCATATAAGGAGAAAAATCAATCAATTGAAACAGTCTTAGAGGGGTCCCTGGGTGGCTCAGTCAATTAAGCCCCTGCCTTTGGGTCAGGTCGTGATCCCAGGAGTCCTGGGATGGAACCCCACAATGGGATCCTGGCTCAGCAGGGAGTCTGCTTGTCCCTCTCTCTCTGCCCCTCCCCCCTCCATTCTCTCTCTCTCTCTCTCTCTCTCTCTCTCTCTCTCTCTCTCTCTCAAATTTTTAAAAAGAAAAATAACTGGATGATGGGCACTGGGGGGGTACTTGACAGGATGAGCACTGGGTATTTTGCTATATGTTGGGAAATTGAACTCCAATAAAAACATACTAAATAAATAAATAAAAAGAAAACTAAATCAATGGAGTCACAGAAATTATAGAATTAGTAACATAGGACACTAAAAAATAATAATAGCCACATTCTATATGGCCAAGGAAGTAGAAATATGGAAAATCTTTGAAAAGCCCCAAAGCAAATACCTAGGAATCATAAAAACGTTGTCTGGGATTTTTAACACACACACCACTACATTTCTTTGGGATGAAGAGCAGATTAGACATTACTGGGGAAAAAAAAAAGAGGTTAAAGAACCTGAAAACATTGCAGTAGAAACTATCCAAAATGAAACACAGGGAATAAAAAGCCTTAATATATACAAAAATAGGGTATCAATGAGCTTAACATACACATAACTGGAGTCTGTGAAGGACAGGAGAAATATGGGAATGAGGAGGAGTCAAGGGAGGACAGGAAAAAAAAAGTTGAAGAAATAGTAGCTGAAAACTTCCCAAATTTGATAAAAACTATAAACTCACAAATCCAAGAAGCTCAACAAACTCCTAATAGAAATATGAAGAACACTATACCAAGGAACATCATAATTAAATTGCTTAGAACCAGTGATAAAATGAAAATCTTAAAAGCAGAGAGAAAAAGATACATCATTATGCAAAGGAAGGAAGATAAAATGACACCAGATTTCTCATAAGAAATTTGCAAACAAGAAGTCAGGGAAGCAGCATCTTTAAAATACTCAAAGAAAAAACTGTCAATCTAGAATTCTTTACCATATATATATATGAAATATATATATGAAATATATAATAAAATATATCATATATATGTTTATATATAACATATATATATATGTCTTGTTTCAAAAA